CCAGTTCTGAACTAATAAACCCAAAGATTCCAGGAACAGGATAACAAGCTACCTTGTGTCAGTGAATGTTTGATTTAATGGAAACAAGAGCGAATCCCTGGTGTACTAAACATATGATGTCAGCACAATGTTTAGGAGTGATGCAGAAAAGGCTCGGTTTAAATGACACAAACGCTGAGCCAGCCAGGTCTCAGAACCACTCAAGCCTAAAAACTAAATGCAAATGTTAATGTTTAGCCTTTAATCACTGATTACATTAAGACAGGCTGTTCCAACACTGTTTAGTGTGAAGTGGTGCAGAAATCCAGAATTAATTCTTAATCCATTCATTCTCTTCTGCTTATCTTTATCAAGGTAGCGGGAATTTAGAGGGTGGGGGGTGAGACCAAAGGGTGAGAGGCGGGGTGCACCCTGCACAGGTTGCCAGCCTGTGGCAAGGCACTCACGTTCACACCTATTAATCCATCATCAATTAACTAATCTGATAATCCAATCAAAAGAATTTGAGCTGCTATTCTTTCCTTATACAGGACACCAAAGTTCATGAAGCAAGAGTGTTGAGTACACTATGAGTCTGACAGCGTCGGGGTCACAAGGTTAAAATACGATCACATTACTTGCTGTGCTTGACCAAAACAAAGCCTGAAAGGAGACTGATTCAGCCAGAGGCCTTTATTCACAAACCTCCCCACATCCTACACAGGGGTCAATGCAAATCAGCCTATTGTTACACACTGAGCTATCTGACCCGAAGCCACTAAACTTTTAAATCAGTATTAATGACATCCCCACAATCAATCTTCCACACTATCTGTAAAGGAGATGATATATTAAAGAGTCCTTTAACTGAATGAGTTACTCACAGCCAGGAGGGAGATACTGAATAAAAAAATAAAAAAATAAATATTTAGATGTGTCACATTTATCATACAGCATTTAAAGCTGTTCTAACTTATTTACAGTAACAGTGAAAGAGATGAACAAACAGTTGGAATTTAAGCATTTCAGCATGCAAAGTTAACAGCTTCAGAGCATAGTGGAATGTGTAGCTGACCCCTCACCAAAAGACAGCTGAAAGGCAACATTAGTCTCCTGTTCCAAAGGAAAGACCAGAAACACAGCTTCACCTGTGCTTGATGCGAAAATCACATCAAGCCGATTTTTAAGTAATATAAACTCCAGTGCTGTAGGTCCAATTCCAGCTGCAGATACAAATCTTCTTTGGGGTTGCATCAAGAAGGACATCCGGTGTAAAACTCCAAATGAAACATGTGGCACCCTCATGGCAAGGGAGGAATTAAAATGGTATCAATACTGCGTATACTTCAAAAAGTACCTCAAATATGAAGTCAAAATTGTTCCTTAAAGTACTTTACAATGATGAACTCGAGGCATTCAAACAAAATGATCATTAAAAAATATCAAATAAACCAGGTAATTTAAGTATTTTAATGGATATAGTTGATGTCCTAAGAGAAATCTTCAATCACACTATTCCTAAAGACCACAACAATAATCCTTCTAATTGCACTGTCATAAGACTTTGATGGAAAGGCTTTAATCTGCAACAAATCCTATTAGCAAATGCCCCAAGGCCGACTTTAACTAAGTGTAAGTTCTATGAAAAATACAAAACGCATTAGATGCAATCTGTGGTTCATGCACTGCTTTTCATATGCAGTATATCCCTCTGTGCTTTGTACCGGACAGTAGACTGAAAATGCTAAAATACTAAAGTGGAAGTCAAATACAAGAAGTATTATGTGAATCAATTTTTCACTGTGAAACAAAAGCAGCGATCTGATCAAGATGCATTATCTGAGGCTTGACGTTCGAGGCAAATTAACAGTCTTCAGTTTCAGGAACTCTGTGCTGCGTTCTGGTAAACTTTTAGGAAATGACTAACGGTCATTTATGGATGAATAAGCGTAACTTGGAATGTCCACATATCCTCTAACGCAATTCCCTGTAACGACATTCACCAGTTTGTTTCTCTAAAAAAACTAGAGAACACATCCTAGCCAGGCGGACTGGTCAGAAAATAAACAGAAAAACAGAAGAAATGGCCTGATTGTTCCTTCTTTCGGAGAGACCTTCCAGTGAAGAACACCCCACCTCTGATCCGGGAGGAACTCCCAGGGCGGATATCAGCCGCACCTCAAGTCATGAGTTTTCTCTTTTTTTCACTTAAGTGAATCAACAGCAAACACAAAACAAAAAACAAAGAAAAACACGCTGGTAATAGCTAAGATGGCAGGACACAAGAAGGATGGACACACACACCACACACACAAACACACACACACACACACACCACCCCCTGCTTCTTTTAGAAGCAGCCTCGTCTCCAGGGTGACTGAAGACAAAAAAGAGGCCTTGGCACAGCTGGTCTGTAGCGACAGAGAGACAGAGAGGGAGGAGGAGGAGGAGGAGGAAAAAACAGTGAATGAGTGTTCAGATGTACAGACAGGATAGAGGGTGAGGGGGAGAGAGACACAGCGAAAGCAGGGAAAGAGTTGATTTGGAAACTAGTTGGAGGAGGGAGAAGGGAGGGGAAAGAGTGAGGAGGTACGCAAACTCTCTGAGAAAAGCAGGAGAAAGTGAACACTCTCACAGGAGGAACAGTTGTGGTCATAAAAAAGAAACGGCTGCTGATCTGCTCAAAGAGTCATATTACGTCCAAACATCCAGTGCTGCTCTCTCTCTCTCTCGCAGTCTGAACTGAAGCAGGCTAATTAGATGAAGAGCAGAAGACCTGCAGGCACCACAAACTAACTTATGAGAAGAGAGAAAGAAGAGGGGGAGGGAGAAAACAAGCAGGAGTAAAAGTCAGTGAAACGTTCTGGGGACTGTTTACTTCTGCCTTTGGCTCTGCTGTCAGAGAAGAGTTAGCAAGTGGAAGTAGTGGCACACATTTGCTAAAGAGGTAAGAGCTTTTTCTTGTCTTTGCACATGTCAGCTTTTACTGTGCTTTATGCCAGGTTTATACAGACTAACATTTGAAGGCCACACTTACTGTACTTGTCATTCTTAAATGGAAATGCTTAAGTGCTGTAAAGTAAAGAAAACAGGTACTAAATAAGCAAACTTGTCTACATGAAGCCCAAAGAAGGTGATTTCTTTGATTTCTGTTACATGTTTTACTCTCGTTTGCGCCTTGTCAAACATAATGTGAGCGCAGCGGAAGGACAAAGACAAGAGGTTGCAGTGTGAAGAGGGTCAGCAGCAGAGGCCTCACATTCTTCAGCCTCACTCCAGCAGGTGCTTGGAATCAGCTGGAGGAGCTGCTATAAACAAAAAGAATATACACATATATTCGCCCAGGGTAAAAGTATCTGTATTTAGGCACTTATGATGAAATAATGCAGTGTTTGGGGGTATTAAGTGTTAAAAGCACACTCTGTCATGTGGAACTGGCTGTCAAAAACAAATATAACAGGAAATCCGTTATGAACTGCAGACTGATGTTTCATGACTAAAGCAACAGAACATGTCAAGTATGACAACCACAAAAAAAAGAAGAAAAAAAACTATATACCGGTATATAAACATGTGGTGGCACTTCCTGATCTGATAAAGAATAAGAGTCGGTAGAAATTCTGAATAATCACATAGTTTTACTTAGAGTTACGCACACATTAAACTAAACAGATTTAATAGATTAGTACAGTACAGCATATGTGTGTGTGCATCACTAATAAACAACAAGTAAGGCTTTAATATGCTTTAATCTTTAATATGTACAGTTTGCAGATCATCGTCATCAGTTTTGACGGTAGATGTGGTGTTCCACAGGGTTCTGCATTGGATCAAAAATTCATTATTTAGTATATTAATGATATAAGTGCAGTGTCTAATATATGAAATGGTTGAAAATGACATGTTAAATCTGCATAGGTACTGAATTTGTTTATGCCAATGAAAAAAGGGGATATTAGTATGTTAAATATATCTAAAATCTCTGTGTACACCACTATGTGGTTGTACAGTTACTGAAAGACCATTCTAAATCAGTAGTTAATTAGTCATCCTTGGAAATGAACATACACCAAGATATATGGTGTAATACACAACACAAAGACAGAAAAGCATCAGAGCAAACAGTTGAAACTAAAAGAAACAACACGGATATACAAAACATTGCATCCATACCGGTACATAAAATAGTCAAATGGTAAAATAGATAAATTGATAAATCCAGTAATCCATGACAAACTTTTTTTAAACATTTTTGTGACTTTGTTGCCTAGCAACAAACAGCAGGGCGTCTTGGGTATCGTACTTTTAATGTTATATTTAATAGCTGGATATTAACTGTTCAACTAAATCAAAAACAGTGTTTTAAATGTTTTTACTTGGAGAGTGTCCCAGTGTAACCAGTGTCAGTTTTATACACCAGTCCTGCTGCGCTTCAACAAGATCAGTTAACTGCTAGTTAGCATTATATATATATAGCATTACATTAGCTTGGTAGGCGAAAAAACTAGCATTAGCTAAACTTACCTATACTCAATGCAAGCCCCTTAAATATGGGTGAGGGTTAAGACAAAGACAAAAAAAAGTAAAAATAAATTTCGTAAACTTAATCAAAACAACTAAATTAGAGAGTTTGGCCAATCAAAAAGTAAATGTAAATCTTTTTTTTAAACTGTTTTGCTTTTTTACATTAAAAAATGCTAGCTTTACAACAAAAACGGATAACGCCGGAAGAACGCCTTTTGTTTCTAGATTTATCACAATTTATTTATTTAACAACTATTTTAACATTATATGAAAATCCAGGGCTTTGAAATTACTATGTGACGTGTTTTGGCACTGTGTTAAAGGGACTGGACTCAATCAGTACAGACTTGGTTCCACACAGGTTAGTCGGCAGGTTTTTTTTAGTCCATTCATTATTTATCGGTGATGTCTTCAGTGTCCTGTCGTGTTCCTGTGCCCTTATCGCCTCTGCAGCTTCTCCCACACACAGCTGCTCCGGTGCTGATGACAGGCCTCAGTTTTGAAATGCCAGGCCTGAAATAGTTAGCCTTGTTTATAATTAAACTGCACACGCAGGAAGGTTTCTCCTGTCTGTGGATACAAACGCACCAGGCCTGACACAAGCCTCGCACACAGTCTGTTCACAAACACGTACAGCCTAGACATGTGGTCTGCCAAATCTCACTACACATACAGTAGACTAATTAGTGGTGCTGATATATAATGAGTGAGTACTTGGAAAGCATAGAGGATTTAGAGATTGAAAGAATTAAAAATAAATAAATAAATCAGGCTTGAGGTGTAATTGCAGGGTGGAAGAGTAAAATCGGAGCAGTCCATGGTGGAGCTGAACTTCTTTTTTCTTTTTTTTTCATTTCTACATTTAGAGCTCTACTGAGGCCTTTTTCTTTTGGAAAATCATTCATATCATTTTTTCAACTCCTGCACCCAGAAGTCAGCATGGACCAGCAGCTGCAGGATATTTTTCGCAGGGTGTGGACCAAACTACAGGCTCTCCCAGAAGCAACTCCAGTGGAGGTGGGAGCCTTTGCCGTCCTCCTCCTCTTTATTGGTGAGTTTTAAGCACTGATCCATCATTCAAAATATGCCACACAAGGCAAAATTAGTGGGACAATAAAGTATTGAATTGAATTGAATATGTAAGTGGAATTACAAAAAATCATTTATTTATTCATCATGTAAATCCTCTGGTTTGAACTTCACCTGTGTATGATAAATGCTGATACTCCTGATATTGGAGTGTGGAGTGGATATAAAGTAAAGAAGTGAAGTCAGTGGCCGGTGTAATGCAAGACAAGTCGATCCAATCATAGGGGTCCATGGCTGAAAGCTCATTGTTGCTAACATGGATGACATCAGGAGCATTTCAGCAGTGGGTTGGCAGCGATGTAGCTATGCTTAGACATTTCGCCATTACTAGTAAAAGTAAACCAAAGCAGTCTAGCTGCAGGCCTCACAAATAAGCCAGTAAAATAAAAGGTACTTAAATGCTCTATGTGGCAGGTGGGGAGTTTACATGTAACTTTATCATACACGGCCATCTAAACCAGAGGCCTGTTGTCACAGTTTGGTACTGTTGAAGTCGACCTCAATGCAGGACTCAGGAGACAAGACTTGAACTCAGAAACAGCTTTTAATGCTGAACCGTGTCCATACAGGGAAAAAACAACACGTAAGGTGAACAGGGAATTGACTTGGAGGAAACACACACGCAGGGAACACACTGCCACAAGGGGAGAACGCAACAAATAACAGAAGGAGACGATAAAAACACACCTCGTGATTATGGAGATTACCAATTTGACACAGAGACAGATGATAAACACATGGACAAGATAGAAGGAGCAAAATGGGATTACAGAAGGGATTAACAAACCTATCATCAACTAAAGCAGACAGGGAACTAATGGCAAAGAAGAACAGGAAACTTGTAAGCACACAGAGAGTAAAGATAACACCATAAGCAGAGGGCTATGGAGCTCACACACAGTTCCATCACAAAAGCACAAACACAGAATGAACCTTCAGAGCAGGAGCACTGAACTAAAGGCACTCAGGAATCAAAGGAACGAATAATAGGAAGCTAAATGTCAACACTAAAGAATACAGAGTCATAAAGATAAATAAGAGTACAAAGCTAGAGAAAACTCAAAACGACCCTGACATCTATATCACTAGGTTTTGGATTTATCCAGATAATTTTAGGGTTAATCGTGGGTTATTCAGTAATATGAAGGCAGTTTACATAAAAGGTGGGGCATATGCACGGTTGGAGATAAGAAACCATTAGCTGTAAAATCAGCAGTCAGTTATTCCATACAGTAGGTCTTTTCAAGTCTTACTGACCACTTAAAGCACACAACAGTGCTTTTTTAATAACACACACATCCACGCTGGTTTGCCTGCAGCAGCTGTGTTTTGTGCTTGCATTTAATAATATAGTTTTATGTTCTTCTGTAAAAACCAGTCACTCTGCTGCCAGTAGACTTATCCACTTTAAAAGAACATGCTTGTAGCTAGATTGATAAACTGTGGGTTGACTTGTGGAGTTGAAAACCTCCTTCATGTGCCCAGGTACACTGAGCTTGCCTGAGTATGCTGTTCTTGCTTCACAGTATAGGATCCAGTAATTGTGTAGAAAATTTCTAGACTCAAAATTGTCTCCCAGCTTGTGCTGACCCCACCCCGTGACTCTGTTTTGTTTTGTTTTTCTCCTCACAGCCACGGTTCTCTTCATGATATTACTCTCGTGCATCCACTGCTGTTGTTTTACGAAGCCAAAGCACCAGCCCTCAAGAGTTCAACCCTTGCACAACATCTGAGGAAGAGACAGGACAGAACACACCTAGAAACATCATCTCCATCCTTCTTCGCGCTTCTCTGGAAGAATTAAGTGGGTATCAAAAACAGGCAAGGATGGGAAGTTGGTGCCATGATATTTCCAGTACTCGATTATCATCCAGAGAGCCACACCACTGCAATGCAGCTGAAAGGCACAACTCATCAAGATTCATTATAAACCAGAACAATGTAACACTGTGTGGCAGAGTTTCATTGGCAAAGAGACACAACAACAAAGCTGATATGTCCTGAAATGTCACAGTGACTCAGTTATTACAAATGTGGTTTGCGATGATGTTCACATTCAGGAGGAGTGTGGGAAACAACACGGACAGTGTACATTCCAACATGTATGTGTGCTCTGGGCACGAAGTTCAGCAGAAACATAGCTTTGTTCAAAAACAAAGCGCCCCCTGCTGGCTCAGTGAAGCAAATCGTGCCAATGGAAAATGTGAACTATTCATTGTTTGATGCCACAGTTTTAAATGTATTCCCGTTATATTGTAAAATAGTAGTGTGACATACAGGAAAGTGTTTCTGAGACGCCACTTTTATGTGTTTTTGCTTCTTCTTGCTTTTGTAAATGTATCAGATGTTAAATACTTTAATTAAATAAACATTTCTTTGTTCTTATACCTAATGTAGTCACCACAGTCTATAAGAGCGAGGATCAAAATGTCATCAGTGACTCGTTGCTCCATCGTGCACATTCCTTATCAGCAGAATTCCTCTTTGCCATTGTGAGTTTAAACATTAACCATGAGCTGTTGCTTTTACTTTGAAATGGCAGTCACCTGGAAATGCAAACAGGAACTGTGCTATGTTTGCATATTCAGAGCACCACTCCTGCGCTCGAAGTGAAAGTAAACTGTTATTTTGGACTATTTAAAAAATCCTTTCTAGTTTGGCTTGTGGATCAGAAAAGCAGCTAAAGAGTCGAAGTTTTCTGTTGTCATACTCTGCTGTGTTTTCACGTTCTGTTAAGACTCAGTGAGCCGTTCACTTGGCAGGACATGGCGGTGGAGAGGTGAGTTTCTGAAAATGAATATGCTCGGTGACGAAAGGCCTTAACACCTGCAGATTAATGGGCCGTGCCAATAAAAATATAATATGTCTGTTGCTTAGATATTTGGAGTGTGAAATAGCTTTTTTAGTTGGCAGATAATGTGCTTCTTTCAGCTCTTAGTGCCAAATAATGGTATTAATAAGATTGTGTGAGTTGGTAAATATCAGGGCAGGTTTACCTGGTTTTCATCTGGTTGATCATTCTCTATACAGTGTACTAGACCAGCAGAAACCCACAGGGTCACCTGAGGACTGGGTGGAGTGGTTCCTTCATCGTATGCATCAGGAGCCGTGGGCACTGGGTGGTATTGCCGTCATTGGAGTGTTTGTCCTGGTAATTCTCTCTCTGGTCATCTTTGCTCTGCTGTATGGATGCTGCTGCAGCTCAGGAGACGAGAAGACAAAGAGAAGGCAGAAGAATTCAAAGGACAGAGTCATTTAAGTGTGTTCAGATAAAAGAGAAAATGTACACTTTTCCACTTTTGAATTTCTTTGCTACATAGTATAGGACTCTTTTTTTTTTTAAGGTTTCTTCAACCAAAATTTGAATGAAATTAAAATGCCCATATATTTTTTCAGTATCTGCAAAAATGGCCTGACCACATCACAGACGCCAAACCATTGTTCCACTTTGTAACGCGTCATTGCCAAGCAGCTGAATTGTAAGAATTGAAAATGGTGAATGGACTGCATTTTCTACTCTGAGCACTCAAAGTACTTTTCACTACAAGAAGAAAATATTTAAATATTGCAGTTGTAAGAAAAATAGCCACTAATATCATAACCCTATTACACTAATAACTATTAAACTTTTTCTTCTAATTTATTCCAAGTTTGACTAGCATTTGTGATTTGAAATGATCCACAACCATTCTGTCAAGATACACAAATGTTTGTGTAAATTCATATGTTTATCTAGTGAACGTTTTAGGCTCACACAGTAAAAAGTAACTGTTTTGATGTGATTTCAGTGTGATTACACATGAAATCAGGTTGACGGATAATAAGACACACAGTGTAGTTTGGGCAGAAAGTCGGAACTTATGGCAAATGGCATGGGATAATGAAACAAAAGGGAGACATTTATATAGGGTGCAAAACACAATAGAAGCTAAGAGGAGTAGCGGATTGCAGAGACGTGAGGAGGTTGTTATCAGTCGAATACGAACGGGCCACTGCTTTTTAAATGGTACTCTTTTTCAGATAGGGAAACATCCGACTGGGTTGTGTGATGGGTGCACTGATATGGAGACGGTTGAGCATGTACTCCTTAGTTGTAGGAAGTATGTAAGTCACAGGAGGGTGATGTGGGGTGAAATGAGTGGTGGAAGGGAACTTACATTTGAACAAGTGGTTAATAAGTTAAGTCATGGTGAAGGGAAAGTGGTGGTTTTTCGTTTTTTGAGAAGTACTGGTCTCATCAAGAGGATCTGAGGATTCAGGAGTGACGGACGGTTAACAGCCAGGAGATGGCAGTAATGCAACAGTTTTGGATGCAAGCTGCCGTTAAACTTGACTGAAGAAGAAGGAGAAGAAGAAGAAGAAGAATGAACGCTGGCCAACAAAATGACTACATTTCCCAGTGGCAGACCAGTTCCTTCGGTGTGTTACCGTTTTGATGACGTCAATATTCTGCGACCCACCGTTTATGCGATACTACACAGAAATGGCGAGCGGTAAAAAGAGTACGCTGCTGTCGTCTTTAGCGGTCTATGGAGATGATTCGGAGCCCGACTCTGACCCTGAACAAGAAGAATCAGGTATATAAAAGTATTTAACTTCCTTTCATACGTTTAAGGACTATGAAATACTTTGCTGTAGGTTCGCCAGCAAAGTATTTCTGCGGAACTTCATGTAGGAGCTAACTTTAGCATGTAGCTAGTTAGACGATCTTCATGTTCATGTTGATTTGTTCGTAAAAAATAATATGCGCATATTTCGCTGGATGGTGTTTTTTTTATTGAGAGAAACTGTTGCCAAACGGAAATTAACACGCGTCTTTAGTTAACGGAGGAGGGTGCGTTTTGTGTCAGGATACCGGGTTGTGTTCTTGACTCCGAGATAACCTTGTTCACTGGTGAGATAGGCCCTTACTCAATTCTCAAGTACGCGAGTCCGGACTTGCCGAGAGCACGAACACGGATTCGCGATTTGTACAATTGGAACACCAGCGTACTTGATGCTGTCACAGGTCCGGAGTTTTTACTGCCGTCCCTTTGCCTGTTTAAATCATAAGAACTGTCACTACACAGAGATGTGCTTCTGAATGTGGACGATGTGTCTTCTGCATGCAGTAATACAGTTCTGCTTGTGTTGAGTGATGTAAACAAACAATCGATCTACGCTCTTCAAACATCAAAATTGATCATTTGATTTTTTTATGACACAGCAATGGTGAATGTTCCCACCCTCTGCTCTTTGTAATTTAACGCAATCTTTCCGTTTTCGTATTTTGGATATGATTTTTGAGTACACCTTCGCAGTAGCAATTGACTGCAAAATAAAGCTACCGGAAATGTACAACTCTATATCCCAGTATATTTTCCCATAGTTGTGATCCACTGGCAGTTTTCATGTTGGCCTTATTATGTTTATTTCTCATATCGTCCTTTCTTAAAGAGCCAAAGCCTGTCTGTTGGCACACAAGGAACAAATATACTGATTTGTTTCTGGACTGCTGGATTATGACTTGTGACATAAGATCATTGTAATCCTAATTTTACTAACCCATATTTCAATTTGTTGATGGACAGAATAATTATCAGATTAATCTCAAATTAAGTAGTCATTAGCTACAGATGGATGTACGTAATGTACAGAGAGAGAAATATGACATGTGGTTGTTAGTTGGCACAGAAGCTTTCAGAGCAGGGATTCATGAGTAAGTGCCAATTTAGGGAGTCGGTAAAGTTTTCAGAGTATAGTGACCATTAGTGAGGTCCCAGTGTTGCTAAGCTTTAGTCTAGGCAATGAGGGCTAGAACAGACAATTTAAAACTGAGGACGAAGTCTTTCTTTGGCTATTTCCTGTTGTCTCATAGGCTGGCTTACTTTGAGGTTTCAATAGTTAGAATGATATCACTCAAAATTAGTTATGTGTGAAATAAAAGAATGATTTTGCTGCCTAATTGATTTCTTTTACTTCTGTGTCTTTGTGAACCCCCCCCCCCCAAATCTCGCATCAATAGGGGGGCGTGTAGGAAGCCTTGTATATCGCTATGATGAGGATGACCTGAACCAAACTGTGGACCCAGAAGAAAAAGAGTCTGCAGATGAAGACAGCAGAGAAAACAACTCGGTCAGTTTTGAATTCTGAGCTTTCTAGATTTTATTTTTACTCATCAATCAGTTCCATTCCACTGATGTCTCTAGCTGACAGAAAAACAGTTCACGTGTTGTGTGCTCTCGGAGTATGTGGTGTGTTTTGAGACATTGAATCTTCACTGAGTACAGAGGGGTTTGGAAGGCTGATTGCTTGGTTGGATCTGCATCATAATCAGGATCTCCCCACTACAAAATCAGTATCACCAAAGTACTTTTTTTCCCTCTTTTCTTTAGTTTTACGTTCACATTATTTGATTTCTTATAAGCATAAATGCAATCTTCAACATCCCCCAAAGTTGATTCTGTTTATCTGGATGTAGCGTTTTCAGTGGGAGAAACGTTTCGTCACTTATCCAAGTGACTTCTTCAGTCTTGGCTGACTGCAGGTTTCAGTACATTTGCATAATGACTGAAACTAGCACGCCCGAAGGAGCAGTGGACTGGGAGATCAGTTCATTGATCATTAAGATGCAAATTCTCATGACCATTGATCAAAGACCACTAATCAATGACAAAATCTTCAACATCAAAAGGCTAACGGTTGGTTAAGACAAACCATGGTTCCTCCTTTGTTTGATGTTGAATGCCACATGTGTAGTCTTATCCATGTTTGCTTTATGCTTGACCTGGGATTGCACGAATCCAATCTGTGGGTGTTCACTGACAGCCTGTCTGCCTGCAGAGAATGTTTGTGGTCAGATGGAGCCAGGGTTAAAAAAAGAAACTTGTAATACAACTGATCTTTGAGCTATTTTGTCCTGTTGTTGGTCTGTCAGCAAGCTTCAGAAAAGACCGAACTTTTAATGTACAAAGAGCTGAAGATTAACAGTGTTTAAAATCAATGAAGTGTCCACTGCAGGCGCTGTCTGTACTTTTACTGTTTTTACAATCTTAGATTTTTCCACGCTTCTCCTATTCCCGGTAATCTCTGCTGTCACACCCCTCCCTATTCACTTGTCAACCAATCAACATTCACATCCAGTGACGTGTATTTGGGATTTTGCGGTGGCAAGTTTGTGATGGGTGAAAACTTC